GGGCTTTGTAGTTTTACAATGTCTTTAGGCTTTTCTCCCAAAGAGTGCTGGTGCTTCACCAAACTACAACACTTCTTACTCCGTTTCATTCAATGTGATGTCCAACTGCATTGATACTACAGTGTAGGCATATCCCTCATTGTCTTGTTGTTCATTTAAAACATCTAAATTCTTACTGACTGTAACACACCTCTTTAACTCTTTTGTTTTCATAATCCCAGCTGAATTTAACTTTCCTAACTCAATCTAATTACAGTAATTCTTATGTCTAACACATCTCTCACTCTGATGTACACACCAGCTTTTAAAAAAGTCCAAGTCAAGCATTCATCCAATCGCTAGTCCCGGTACTCCATTCTCTCACTCCTCCCAACAGATGCCTGCCTTATTATGCATTGTGTACATTAGCACATCTTTACCTTAATTTATCGAATGCGCATAACAGCATTTCACAAAAGTTCAGAACAGCAGTCTCCTTTTTTGTCTCTTTTTAAAAACCATGATCCACATCATTGTATGAATGGCCAGCTAACCAAGGAAAGAAGTTCCAGCAGTTTGATTGATTGTTATTATCATTCTCCTTCATATAAAAAGGGACTTTGTGTTGCACAGGAAATTGAAAATATTTACCAGTTCTCCCATATTGGTTTAACAGAGCCATTATTCTTCTGCCATTATTGGAGAAGGTGGAAGGATCAGAATTACTGTGATGTTGCTATACATTGTATTTGACAGCAGTTAGAGCTTAAAAGTGCTTCATATTCCTCACTGTTGGCACCAGATATTTAGGTCTCAAAATGGAATGCCGTCTTGTGTTTATGCAGAAGTGACCTGAGTTTCATGGGCTCTTGGTGTTTAAAATTAGAGTCTGAAACTTGTTTTGTTTTTTTGGGAAACTACAGCAATAATTCTTTGAAGCTCTTTGTGCATTATAATGAGATGAACCAGATTTGTTTTCAACACCTAAAAAGAAAAGCATTAGTACTTATTTTCTGATGGTGAGAGAAAAGACTGTACTTTTCTTTTCACAGATTTCAGTAGAAATCTTTTCTTACATACCGTATATGCTCGAGTATAAGTCGACGCGAATATAAGCCGAGGCACCTAATTTTACCACAAAAAACTGGGAAAATGGATTGACTCGAATATAAGCGGAGGGTGGGAAATGCAGCAGCTACTGGTAAATTTCAAAATTAAAATAGATACCAATAAAATTATATTAATTTAGGCATCAGTAGGTTAAATGTTTTTGAATATTTACATAAAACTGTAATTCAAGATAAGACTGTCCAACTCTGATTAAACCATTATTCTAACCTTCTTCAATGTAAATATGCTTACATGTCCTCCAATAATAATAGAGTAATAAATGTAACAATAACAATTATTTTGGTCATGTTAGGCTATGTTAGAATGATCAGCGGTCTTTTTGTTGTTCATTCGTTCAGTCGCTCCCGACTCTTCGTGACCTCATGGACCAGCCACGCCAGAGCTCCCTGTTGGCCGTCACCACCCCCAGCTCCTTCAAGGTCAAGCCAGTCACTTCAAGAATGCCACCCCATCCATCCATCTTGCCTTTGGTCGGCCCCTCTTCCTTTTCCTTCCATTTTCCCCAGCATAATTGTCTTCTCTAAGCTTTCCTTTCTTCTCATGATGTGACCAAAGTACTTCATCTTTGCCTCTACTATCCTTCCCTCCAGTGAGCAGTCGGGCTTTATTTCCTGAAGTATGGACTGGTTGGATCTTCTCGCAGTCCAAGGCACTCTCAGAACTTTCCTCCAACACCACAGCTCAAAAGCATCTATCTTCCTTCGCTCAGCCTTCCCTAAGGTCCAGCTCTCACATCCGTAGGTTACTACAGGGAATACCATGGCTTTGACTAGGCGGATCCTTGTTGCCAGTCTGATGTCTCTACTCTTTACTATTTTATCGAGACTGGACATTGCTCTCCTCCCAAGAAGTAAGCGTCTTCTGATTTCCTGGCCACAGTCTGCATCTGCAGTAATCTTTGTACCTAGAAATACAAAGTCTGTCACGGCCTCCACATTTTCTCCCTCTATTTTCCAGTTGTCAATCATTCTTGTTGCCATAATCTTGGTTTTTTTGACGTTTAGCTGCAACCCGGCTTTTGCACTTTCTTCTTTCACCTTGATTAGAAGGCTTCTCAGCTCCTCCTCGCTTTCGGCCATCAGAGTGGTGTCATCTGCATATCTGAGGTTGTTAATGTTTCTTCCAGCAATTTTCACCCCAGCTTTGCATTCATCAAGCCCCGCACATCGCATGATGTGTTCTCCATACAAGTTAAAAAGGTTGGGTGAGAGTATGCAGCCTTGCCGTACGCCTTTCCCAATCTTGAACCAGTCTGTTGTTCCGTGGTCAGTTCTGACTGTTGCTACTTGGTCCTTGTACAGATTCCTCAGGGGAGAGACAAGGTGGCTGTATGCCCATCCACCAAGAACTTGCCACAATTTATTATGATCCACACAGTCAAAGGCTTTAGAATAGTCCATGAAGCAGAAGTAGATGTTTTTCTGAAACTCCCTGCCTTTCTCCATTATCCAGCGGATATTGGCAATTGGTCTCTCGTTCCTCTGCCTTTTCTAAACCCAGCTTGAACATCTGGCAACTCTCTCTCCATGTATTGCTGGAGTCTTCCTTGCAGGATCTTGAGCATTACCTTACTGGCATGTGAAATAAGGGCCACTGTACGGAAGTTTGAGCAGTCTTTCGCATTTCCCTTTTTTGGTATGGGGATATAAGTTGATTTTTTCCAGTCTGATGGCCATTCTTGTGTTTTCCATATTTGCTGGCAAATGGCATGCATCACCTTGACAGCATCATCTTTTAAGATTTTAAACTGTTCAGCTGGGATCCCGTCATCTCCTGCTGCCTTGTTGTTAGCAATGCTTCTTAAGGCCCATTCAACCTCACTCCTCAGGATGTCTGGTTCTAATTCATTCACCACACCGTCAAAACTATCCTCAATATTATTATCCTTCCTATACAGATCTTCTGTATAGTCTCGCCACCTTCTCTTGATCTCTTCAGCTTCTGTTAGGTCCCTGCCATCTTTGTTTCTTATCATACCAATTTTTGCCTGAAATTTACCTCCAATGTTTCTAATTTTCTTGAAGAGGTCTCTTGTCCTTCCTATTCTGTTGTCTTCCTCCACTTCCATGCATTGCTTATTTAAAAATAGTTCCTTATCTCTTCTGGCTAACCTCTGGAATTGCGCATTTAACTGGGCATATCTCCCCTTTTCACTGTTTCCTTTTGCTTTCCTCCTTTCTTGGGCTACTTCCAGTGTCTCGGCAGACAACCATTTTGCCTTCTTGGTTTTCTTTTTCTTTGGAACGTACTTTGTTGCCGCCTCCTGAACGTAATAATAACAATAATAAAATAATAAATGTAATAATATTAACAACAACAAAGTAAAGTAATAAATAACATTGACACAAATATAAGCCGGGGGAGATTTTTTGAGCCTAAAAAAAGGACTGAAAAACTAGGGCTAAACTCGAGTATATACAGTAATTCTTTTTCTTGGGCTGAAATAGCAAACCCATTTTTTCCAATGTTACACATGCTTTGTAAGATGTTGGTGGGATCACTTAGAATATACTTTTTTACAGGCCCATTTAACCACCCCAATGTTCTCCCTCGGCATTCTTTCCATTCCTGGAGCCAAATGTATAAGGACCAGGCTGGTAAATGATTAGGATTTTCAGGGAATCTTGGAGGGAGGAGGAAGACATTGACGCTCAAATAAAATTTTTGCCATCCTCAAATTATATTTTCCTTCATTCTCCAAATTTTTAACATAGTGGTAACTTCATGATTTGGTTGAACATTGAGAAATATAACTTAGGTATCAAAAAAAAAATAGTAGACCGAAAACACAAAGCTAACACAAAGTAAATAAAAGACTAATGTTTCACTTTCTGCAAGGGTAGAAATTTGGGGAGTGAAAAGAAAATTTAATTCATATTTAGGGGGAAATGCTTTCAAACTCTCCCCCCATAACTAAACCACTCAGTCACCCAGAAAAATGAAATGCCTCTCTTCAGCAGTCACATGCAACTCGAAGAGGTGCCTCTCATGCAGTGGGGCAAGGAGAATATGGAGGGGAGATCAGAAAACTTTCCTTGCCTGAATTTCGTCCCATTAACCTATCTTAGAATCTAACTGAGAGCCAGTGTAATTGTGTGGTTTGTGCACCAGACTATGACTCTGGAGACCAAGATTCAAATTCCTGTTCAGCAACCATGGTGACCTTGGGCAGGTCACCCTCCCTCACTCTCAGAGATAATATGCACATAATGCAAACAACCAGTCTTTTCATGCTTGGAATATGTCACAAAACCATGTAATTATTGAAATGATATATCTGCTTCAGAGGTGAGGAGTATAGACGACATTTCTCCACCACCTGCAGACTTTGACCAAACGCCACCTTCCAAGTCACCGAAATTTGGGGAGTGGGGGAATTATTCACAATATGGCTAATCTTGAACTTGAAATCATTTAAGCATGTGCGTCTTACTTGGCCTGTTTTAGATCAAATACTTGTCTTTATTTACAAACTAGAAATTTCTAAGTAGTTACTTTTAAGTTTTAATAAAATGATTTTTGTGCACAAAATATGACTGGGGTGCCCAAAGTGTCTTTGCAAATGACATTTTTGGATTATTCTGGAGTTTATAGAGAATTTCTAAGGATCATGGGCTACTCTACCCTGCCTTATCTGCTTGAACACTTGCAAGCTTTGCTTTTGATCTCATTTACGCTTCTCTGCAAACCAAACTCCATGTTCTGATTGAATTCCATCCTACAAACAAGTTTTCAAAAGTGTTCTCTAACACATTATGTTTGTTGATATTGCTCTCATATGTCACAAGCTGCCTTTATGATAAGGTGTGGGAAGGGGCATATTTTACACAGTGACATCAAAACTTTTAGCTTGTTTGTATTAAATGTGAATTCTCTTTTTCTTTAAACAGGAGGAACTCAGAATATTCAAGAAGAAAGACTCATGATTTATGACTGAAAAAGTCATTATGTGGACAAGGCCCTGCTGGGCAAGAGACAGTGTAGAAGATTCAGTCAACCCAGAAGAACCAATGGAGTTAATGAAATGCATCTGGTCCACTTCTAAAGGGAAGGTTGTAAGGAAAGTCAGTGATCGTATTATTCGATAATATTATATTAAATGTACCCAGCACAGTGACCTCTCTCTTTCTGTCTCCTCATTTTTAAATTTCATGGAACAAATGCTCATTGTGCATGAATACTTTTTTTTTGTTTAGACAAGACAAATGGCACTATCAATAAAAGTTTGATGTAGGACCACAAATGTGTAAGAGAAGTGTAAATCTTCACCAGTGTCATACTTATGGGCAAGAATGGACAATTTCTCCTCACTGGGTAAAGATTCTCAAAAACCTGCACAGTTTTGAAATATGCAAAAAAAAGTTTTGTGCAGAAATGTTGTGGCAAATCTGGAACCAAACAAATCTCACAATGCTCTGCACAAGCCAAATTCAATAGATACAGATGATGTATTGAAAGGACAGTATTGTATTTCATTGTTTTTGACGTATTAATGATGAGCTTGTTTTATGAAAAGAAGGATCATCCCTAATTTTGCACCAGGACCATCATTGAACATACAGAGATTAAAACGTATACATTTTAAAGCATGGGTCTCCAAACAGGCCTGTGGGCCGGATGTGGCCCTCCAGAGTCATTTACCTGCCCCTGCCCCAAACTTTAGACTTAGAGTTGTACTAAGCCTGAAAGACACACAACAACAATCCTGATTAACTTGAGTATTTCATCAGACAAAAGCAGGGCCACACTTTCCATTGAGCTTATGTTGGTTAAAAATGTTTTTCATTTTAAATATTCTTATTTTATTTTATTTTATTTTTGCACTAAAAATAAGATATGTGCCATATGCATAAGAATTTCTTTGTTTCTTTTTTGGGGGGGCACTATAGTTCAGCCCCCCAACAGTCTGAGGGATTGTGGACCAGCCCTCTGCTTAAAAAGTTTGAGGACCCCTGTTCTAGTGAGTTAAACAATCAAGATCGACAATAGGAGCAATTTCCTGTTTTATAATTAGTGTAATGTATATACTCATATACGAGTTGATCTCATGTATAGCTCAAGGCCAGGTTTGGGGACCAAAATTAAGGGTTTTGATATGATCTGTGGAGAAATTGAATATAAAACTCAGCATGCAGATCTTCAGATCCATTTTGCAGAAAAGTCAAACAACAACTGCCATTTCTCCTCCAGGCATTAAAAGGCCCTTTTCCAGAAAAGGAGTTGGTTCTCCCATATCTTCTTCTTCTTTGATATAAGTTAAGGATAGTGTTTACTAAATAGGAGAGAATAGAGGGGGGATGGATTAAGCTCTTGTCTTTTATATAAAAGCTACAATACAGAATTACATTGACATGTGGGTAAGTTGACTCAGTTTGGGGGGCTGGATTTGACTAAAATCTCTAAGCTTATACACGAGTATATGCAGTATATTACAGATATTTTTAACAGTTTGTTTCTGACAAGAACAGGAGAACAATATCATTTTACTTTCAGTTCTACCTGTTTTCTTCCAGTCTGCTTCCATCTCATTTTCTAACATTTTCTTCCTTTTGTTGAGCATCATGGGAAGTGTAGTCACCATGAGATTTTACATGATGGAAACTTTCCAGTGAACACTTGCTAATGTAAACAATATGGAAACTTTTGGAAACTTTTGAGACAAGTTATTATTCCAAACAATGGGGTGGGGTGGGGGGGGGGGGGAAGAAAAGCCTGGATACAGTGTTTTATTGGGATGGTGAGGAATGTTTTTCAAGCAAAGAACACAAACATGAATCTTTTTTTCCACAATAAGATGCAAAGCGTTCCGGCTCCAATTCAGAGATGCAGCAGTCTTATGTCACAGTTAAATAAATGGTAATTAAGATGTGCTCTCCATAGGATGGATTCTTAGAAGGAAGCTGATTAGGGCCAGCTAGAAAGCACGAAAACCAATTATTGTTTATTTGTTTGTTCCACTCGTGGCTGAAATAAGTTGTTTTGACCGGAATGCTTTCGGTGACTCATATTGGTTTAATTGAGGGTTAAACCATTGTGATGGGGATCACTTAAGATGGTAGAAAAGAAGACGACGGAGAATCACTGAACTTTTTAGCAAAAACACAGGGCTAGATTTAACGATGTGCTGATTATCATATACAATAAGCAAAACCAAGATATTTTCAATAATCTGTTAATTTATTGTGTCTGCTGTCATATTTCAATGTCATTTGGGAGTATACTAAAATGTGTTAATAGATTATATGAATTGTGGTAAGATTTCAGCTGCTTTTTATGTACTGTGAATTTCCTTGGGATTTTTTTTATGTACGAAAGCCTTTTTTTTACTTAAAGAGTTCTATCTGTTGCCTCAAGCTTTATGAGACATGGGGACATGTTTGTTCTTACAGCGATGACAATAAATAACAACAAACCTTCTGAAAGTATTGAAAGCTTACCAAGAATATATTCATACTTCAATTCAGCATTAATGATTGTGCTTCAATCATATTTAAATGAATTCCTTTTGCTAATTCAGGCTGCATTCCTCTAAGGTTTAATGTATATTAAAGAACAAATGTAAGATTGATAGAATGAATACCCTTCAGTCCTAATAAAGGAATGTTTTCTTCAGGTGGATTCACTGGAGAACTATTTTGTCTAGCTTGGGCTCCCACGCACAAGATGAAATTTGGGGTCTCAGTTGTGAATGCTTTTGAGACCCTTCTTGGTACAACATGAAAGAGTATTATTTTGTCTTGTTTTGTTTTTTTAATGTAATCTGTCTTCTGTAAGCTGCAAATTCCATGAAAACCTTCATGTGAAAAATTGCACAGGTTCAACTTGTAACAGAAGATTCCTGCTGAGGACTATGTAAAATCATAAAAGAATATGAAAATATAGAAGAGCACAATACTGTTGCCCTTGGATTGAACAAAACTAATCTGTAACTATTATACACATATCCACAGCATATGAGCCACCAAGGAAAATGAAAACCATGATGTGTACGCTATGTTTTGGCTGAATTTCCATGCCTTGCTTATCCTTGCATACTTGGAACTAAAGAAATAGGAAGAGGGTGATCAACCTTTAGATCACAATGTATGTCCAGCAGTCTGTGTTTATTCCAGGATTGTGAAGGCCTCACCTAAACATTTGGAGGTTGAGATAGAGGGACTTTGCAACAAAATCTACATTGTTTAGTTCACAGCGGGAATGAAGCGTGTGTTGCTCTCCAAATGTTGTTGGACCGTAACTTCATTCCAACCTTACCATTGTATGTTCTGGGTAGGGCTGATGGGAGTTGTACTCCAAGAGCATCAGGAGGACCACGCATTCCCCAGCCCTGTTTTTCAGTGGTCACTCTATGTCTCCAAGAAACATTTCTTCCAAGATTAGTGATCTTGAAATTCATAGTCCTCTTTCTGAACTATAAACTTCAGGATTTTTTGCATGATGTCAGTTGAACTCAGATAAAGCTGGCTAAAATGTATAGGTTGGATCTGCCTTAATTTCACCCACAATAGCAAAAATATGGTTCTTTTTGTTTTCCCAAGGATCAATCCTGTCTTTTCTGTAACAAGTGTTACAGCATGTGTCAATGTTAACAAGTTAAATAAAGTTCAGTGTTCCACCATTAAGTGTTCTTTTGTTCTTACTCTGTCTATTTAATGACATGTCATTACTATTCAGAGAAGCTGTGACCAGATTTGACTGTGATTAATTCGCAAAAAGGAGGGTAAAATATGTGAAGTGGGTTTAATCTACTTTAGTTTCTATAGAGGGTGAGGTCAAAATCCATTATGGTGTGATCCTATGGACATTTGCCAGACCTTATACTAGAACAATGGCTCCCAACCTGTAGTCCTTGGACCACCGGTTTGTTGCGCAGCAAGCGGATCTTAGCCACATCCCATGCACAAGACACACAGACATGAGTAGAAATGAACAGAAAAATCTTTACTCTTAATAGCAGAAATAAAACACAAATTTGCAATGTTACATACAAAAACAAAGAGTGCAAGAAACTTACATAGTCTTTATAAGTAACACAAAATAAGGCATCTTCATCTTAAGTCAAATGAGAAAGCAAAACATAAACCTTGAGCAAACAGCTATTTTATCATAGCCTCCTTTAGAGCAGCATAACGGCTTCTCTCCAACCTGCTCCTCACAGGTTGGAGAGAAGGTTTTTCTTCAACACACACACACACACGGTCCTGCTACAACTTACTGTAACACAGTTGTCTGCAAGAACAAAAATATGGTCCGTGGCCTCACTGTTACTACACTGTTGCCTTGAAACCATGTGATGACGAGCACGACTGGTCTTGCGAAACCCTCTTATAGTTCCGAGCAACGGGGATGTCAGTAGAGGAGAGGCTGACTACTCATGAAAGATTACTACTACTACATCAGCTCTAGATTATTAAATATGGTTTTTTGTGGGGGAGCAGATGGTGACTACTGGATGGCATATGTTCTGTATCAAAAACTAGAACTGATGTGGTCTATCCAATGCAACTTTCTGAATCAGCACCGCAAATAACCAACCAAATCTAAAGTTGATCAAAAACTGATTTGTAACCCTTTCGGTACTAATGTTGGAGAATGGTCCCTGGTCAAAGTGGTCCCTGGTTAAAAAAAAAAGGTTGGGAACCATGGTACTAGAAAGTATAATTTACAATTATTATTTTTTGGTCGTGTCAGGAGCAACTTGAGAAACTGCAAGTCGCTTCTGGTGTGAGAGAATTGGCCGCTTGCAAGGACGTTGCTCAGGGGACGCCCGGATGATTTCATGTTTTTTTATCATTTTTGGGAGGCTTCTCTCATGTCCCTGTATGAGGAGCTGGAGCTGATAGAGGGAGCTCATCCACCTCTCCCCGGATTCGAACCTGCGACCTGTTGGTCTTCAGTCCTGCCAGCACAGGAGTTTAATCCACTGCGCCACCGGGGGCTCCTATAATTTACAATGAGAGAAAATGGTTTTCCCATCATCTTTCATCATTGGCTATGCCAGGTAAGGCTGATGGGAGTTGTAGTCAAACAATATCTGGAGTGCCAAAAACTGCCCACCCTCTAATTGGAAGTTTTGCATTGATGGGAAGATATTCAGATGTCATTCCAAGGAACTGG